CGTCTTCAAATTGTTTTCAGGAAATGGAGTTGGAAAACGAAGATCTTGATACTCATTACTTCGGCGAATTGCGTCAAATTCAGACTGTAAATTCATCTCTGTGGATCCATGTCCTTGCCATGTGCTACGTGAATAGGCACACAGCCACTATAGCGAAACGCAGTGACGTTGTACCGTGCCGTTTCCTCGCCTCAAAAAAGCACTGGGAACGCGCAGTCAGAGCTAGCGACAACCAAAAGTGAAAGGAAGCAGACAGGTACCTCGTTTGGCTATGGTTGGGCGTGTGACTGGCTGTGCGGCAGGGCGGGGGATTTGGTAGACCGCGTTGGGGTATCACTACCCTCCAGCCCCGCTCCCTTGCAATTTGAACGGAGAAATCACGCCACTGCAGCCACAAATTCATTTGCCTCGCTTATGAAAAGGCCGGAAACCCACGGAGGTGAACGGACAGTTTGTCACTGGGAACTGCCTCCAAACAGATTAATGCCTTTTTCACACGTATTTAACAGTTCAAGCCGAGATAGATCCTACATGATACCACACTGTATTAGTCATATACAAAGGATGAGAAAGGGTAAAGACGATACTTTGCTCTTGGAAGGCGCCTCCAAATTTTTTCAGAACAAGATCTCTCTTGGCGAGCATAGCAGGCACTTCCTCTCAGAACTTAAACCGTCATTCCGTTCCGTCAGCCATGAGCTAAATGCTGCTTACAGTTGTCACAAGAATGCTGAGTTATGGGCATGCTTACCCCGCGGTTTTGGCACAAAAGCCAACAAACTGATAGGGGTGAAGGCGGTCGTGTTGGCGTACACGCACGTTTGAGTCTTGAAGAGTCAAGACATTCACCTTTTCCTCAGTATCTTTGTGATGACGTTCAAGGCGTGCGGCGTTGAACAACAGATATCACATCGAAACAGCTTCGTACACCGTTCGTGTTAGTCACATAGTTGCACGTTCCTACAGTCGCTTTTATGGTATACAGGGGAGGGCAATAAAAAAGGACATTTTAGCCGAGTCGCATATCAGTAAGTTCACGCAGCCCCGATACAAGACGTGGATACGAGTATCCAGGGCGGAAGATACCCAAGATGTTCCTCGATAAGCAGGAGCAGGCCCTCGTCCATCACCTTCATGTACACCAAAATATGAAGCCATCTCCAATCGCAGCCTGACTGGAGAAGGCCTATGGAATTCACGTCACCTCCAAACAGCTGCGAAACTTCTGGATGGAGTCACCCATGGACAGCTACCTGGAGACCAGCACTCTTAATCTGGAAGACCTCCAACATCGAGCAGCTCCGACAACGTCGCTACGGTCTAGGATATCATCTTCACCGCAGTCGCCAAGGCGCGGGTTGATGGTATGGACCGGAAGTTCCTGGAATGGGAACCGATATTTTCTTCGTGGACCCCGGACTGAAAGTGAAACGCTGACGGTTACATCGACCAACTCGAGGAGAATATCCTGCTCTCATGTCGTCGCCTGTACCATGTTGGAAAATTCGTACTGCTACAGGATTAGGCGCCAGCACGTGGAATGGAAGGACGTTGTAAAAACGTTCACCTACTTGGAATCGAAGGGCGTTGGGACCTGAAGAAGACGGAATATCCATAGTGTGCCACATGCCCTAAATACCCTCGATTACCGGGTTCGGGGAGCTCAACAGGGGGTCTACAGTGGCGGAGAAATCAACGACCTCGCTGAACTCAGGCACCGAATCACGGTCGCGTGGCAGAATCTCTCGATGGCGCTCCTCCAGAAGGCTGTGGCGGAGTACCTTGATAGAGTGCAATGTGTTGTTGAATATGATGATGGATATGCCCAATCAGAATTTGATGAAGTGTCAGCTTATAGCGCCTTGAAAGTCGAGGAAGAAAGGTGTATTTTTTCATTGCCCCCCCCCCCCCCTGAAGAGCCATCCAGTTTCTCGAACAACTTAGCGGTGGTTCTTGAATTATTTTTCGTGACTCGACAGTAACAGTTAGGTTCTCCTGTCAATCGCCCTCAGATCCACGCCACATCACTTCGGCAAATTTTTTGGATATGATGATTGAGGAAGTACCTCGGATGTACATTTTGCAGGTACTCTCTTATATCGTTACTTGCTGGCGAAAACGTCAGGGGTACGTTCGGCACAACGCAATCTGTCCTTCCGCTTTGTGCAACACTCTTGCAATGCAATGAGTTGCAAAGCGAGAAACCCTAAGATTCTAGGGTCATGGCTTTCGATGCCTTATACGCAACGTAACCTTTTTAGAAGACGCTCCATGTTTTAGAAAAAACTTGAGGAGCAAGGCGAGTTTCTCTAGGGCAGAGGAGATCCAGCGATAGATGCATGAATTTTTTGACATCGCGCTCTCGTTCTCCTTCATGCTGCTATTATACTTGCTTTTTGCAGGGTTTTTCTAGAGTACTGCTCTACACAACGAAGTAAGCATTTCTCCCAACACACCAACACACTAACCTCTCAAATCGGGAAAGGCACACATCATCAAGGGTAAATTCATCGCTATCTCAGGCAGCCTGAAACAGCTCCTCGATTTCTAGAATAAGTCGCTAGCTTTATTGCAAAGCTGGAAGCCGCTCTGGTGCTAAAGCCAACAGCCGTTCAGCTGTATGCACATCTCGCAACTTGTTAACGGATTTATCTTCAGGCGTCCTGGATAAGTCGACAGTGGTAGCAGGGACTATGCTCCATACGGTAATGTGATGAAATAATGATATTAATAATTCGGCGGCTCCACGATGGTATAGAGCCACCTAGCACGTGCATGGTCCGAGGTCCACACTCGGGTCGTCTCCCGACCGAAGGCAACCAACTTTTCATCACTCCTGGGCTACGTAACTCTTACCAGACTTGCCTGAGAGGATAAATACACCGACCGTACATGACTGGCCCGTACAAGCTGTAGCGTGGGCAATATCGCATTCAGAAGCCATGACTGACATTCTGAAGTTGAATGCAGTGCGGGCCATATCCTAAGAACTGATAGCATCACCTTCAGAAACTATCCATTGAGCTAGCCTGAGCTGCTTTATCGAATGGCGGATCATACTTATCCCAATATTATTTTCCCTTTTTTTCGACTTCTTCTGTTATAATAGACACTTCTAATTTCGTTTTGGAGCCGTAGAAACATTTAAAATTAATTCATTGTCAAGGCTCCAGAAGAGTGCCGTACCGCAAAATTCTTCACCACTCTGCTCTAACTATGTCTAAATCACGCAACTCTTTTTTGCAGAGCACATGCTCAGATGTAGTTAATCCGAAGAAACTGAGTTCCAAAAGTAAGGCTTGAAGTCAAACTGGCAATTACAAAAGTTCCAACTTTAAACTGCTAAAACACGCGACCTTGGCTTGTTTCAAGTTTTTTTTTCGCTACTGTATATGCAATAGAGGCAAAACTAGTTTTCTTTCGGATAAGTGAAGGAGGTATCTACTCCATTTTTCCACAGGCAGAATCCGCGATTACTCGCCATCCCAGATAGTGGATTAGGGGGTTCCATATAGACGACAAGGGGTTGAGTAACTCGACAGTGAAGAAAAAAGCACAAAAAACATGCCACCTGCCCTAGATAGAACCCCATTTTGATCCCAGTTTGTACGTGCCCAATTAACTCTATCTCCCACACTACGCCCTCATACGCACAGCTGATTCATCCGATAAGAACTCTACGATCGTACAAGTGACGATTTTCATGCTTTTTCGTCCTGCGACTCAATCTTTTATGAAAGCCGGGCATTGAAGGGGAATTTGGAGGGCGAGTCACTGGAAAATTAGTGGGACCACTGACTGTATATTGCGACTATGCGCCCTCCCTTAGAGTTTTCTGCGCGAAACGGATACAAGTTGTTCGGTCTCGGACACCTCTAACATATGACGCCATCGTTTTCAACGTTCGATATCTGGAGCGGTGCCTGCCACAAGGGTCGCGTAGCGACCTGTAGTGCAAAGATAGTAATACATGGGCTGAGAGGATTCAAGTGTGATATTTCTTTCACGTTCACCGGAAGCAACCCTTTCAGAATGCCTAATATCGAACGTAGTAGGTTATAGAATGAGTGGTCACCTGGGCAAATTAATCAGTCGAGAAAACCTACTTTACTCTTGCCTCTTGTTTTTTTCATCCTATAGCTGCAATCTTGCTATTTCGACACCATCAATCATGTAGTTGTCTGAGAAAAATCAGCTTTCTAAGACGAACAAATGGATGTGTTGTAAAAGAGTTTACCTTTGGATGAAAATTTGTATTCACCCATGAAACCTTTTGATGATGCTTCGCCGTGTATGATTTGGAGAAGAAGATGCTCATCCCTGTAAACAGAGGCGAGTGGAGCGATAAATACACAAGGCATGCAGGATAAACACGCCTAGGAGAACAGGATTCGGCGTTTCCGAACACGCGCTGCTGAATAAGGCAGCGTTCATACTTCGCGACAGCAACGGCGATCGCGGCGATCGTAGCGATCGCCGCGATCGTCGGTACGCGACAGAGCGCGCCCAACGCTACTACTTGGGCCGCTTCGAGTGCTATTAGGAAGATTAATTGTAATCGGCTTAATTGTGTGCTTTTTTCTTTTAATTGCAGGTTTCTCAGGTACTAAAGCTTGTTTTGACTCGAAGGTGGACCCACTTAATGGCTTTTTCTATTTTCTTTTTGATTCTGGATGGAAATAAACAAGAAGCTTGAGAGCTTCATTTGGGTGAAGTTCTGATTGTTTCTTTTCTCGTTCTTCAAGCTTATACATGAATTTATAAAGTTCCCTCCTCTTTGATGTTGAATGAAAGAACTAGTGTTTCGAAGATTTAGGTGGGTTTTTCTGTTTTTTTTTTCTTGTTTGAACTCGACTTGTAAACTATTAATGTTTCGAAAGTTGGACCAGTTCAGCCAGTAGGGAACTGAGACTTATATAAATTGAGACAATGAAAACAAAACAAAAGAAGCTCAACTGGGGAATGAAGTTGCCCTTACCCCGACCACAAAAAAGGGTTAAACCCCCTCTCATATTTCAGATCCTCTGAAGTATAGAAAGCCGTAAGTTTTCAGTTAGTAGTCCTTGTTAAGAGAAAAGAGGTCCTACAAGTTGGATTTCCTTATTTATCAAGCGAGCAGTCCAAGTAATAGCGCTTGGGGCGCGCTCTGTCACGTACCGACGATCGCGGCGATCGCCAATGCTGTCGCGAAGTATGAACGTATGAACGCTGCCTAAGAGAGTACGAGGATCACTCCAGGCGGATGGGAAAATATGACTCAGCCAGTGACTCAGTTCATGTATTGAGTATGCTGCATTGTGTCTACTTGGTTATGCGGCACAGAAAAATATTCATCCCATTTGAAGGCACCTGTATCCAAAGCTGTTATTGCGGAATGATGTGCGGGGCGTCTTTTTGGAGCCAGCAGGGTGAAAGAATATCAGAAACCAACCCACAAAGTAAGCAACCTGGAGTAGAATGTAGTTCCAGGAGCGATTTCGTGGCCGCAGAAGGTAAAGCTCGGTTCTTCTTCCGGATCTACCAGACCGTCCGGAGAACTGTCGAATATTCGTAGTGAAGACGTACAACTGCAAATAGTAGCATTTCGCTCAAGTTTCACCACTAACCAGAGTCGTATGAGTAATGTTTGTTCATTTTCATTGTAGTTGATGAGTACAAAGAGCTTTATTATATTATATTAAGTTATACTTTAAAAATCTTGGAAATCTTTTGAACTTTGCCAGTATTTTCTTTCGGAATGTTGAAGTCTAGTCATGTGATCTGTACAAAGCGCATCATGTATATGCCGAACCACCATCTTTGCTCCATCCTCGACACCCCTCTCTGCGATAATGTGTGCAGGCAGGGTACAGCATTGTGATGTGTAAAATGGCGGTGTCAGTACCCCCCCCCGCCCGGGAAAAGGGTCCTGGAACGAAAAAGGCAAAAGGTGAAAGGGTCCTCTCTCTTACCGTCCCTGATTGTTTGCTCTGACGGGAAGTATGAGATACGCAAGGAGTCGCAAGTGCTTGCGCCGCGTTATGAATCCATGGCAAATTAGCGATGGAGCAGATCTGTTTGCCGTGTGGAAGTCGCGGAACTTTTTCTGAAGATGACTGCTTTTTTGGTTGTGGGGCTTTTGAGAACAAGGCGGCATTTTGGAGCAATATTCCTACTGTTGCGTTTTCCACTACTCGCAATCTGAATCTTCCCCCGTTCGTGAAATATTTCGGATGGTTACGGACGCGTTAGTGGTAAATCGCAAGCGGATTTTTATGTATTCAGACGAGAACAATTTCTTTCAAACGCAAACAACTTCTTTCTTTTGCAGAACTAGAAACGCCATCCGAACGCGCAATATTTTCTCCTTTCAAAAAGCGTTGAAGTTTCCCTGAAGACCTGCTACTTTAGAAGATATTTCAGAGGGGTCACCCCTGCGCAATATTCTGAGCCCTCAAAAGCTCGACTCCATCTGCGCCATTGTAAGGATACTCATAACCCCAATATGCCTCCAAACCGCATATTCCCGTTGGTCTGAGTCAACGCATGATTTGGTTATCATCGATCGATTTGGTTCTGATTTTAGGTGATTTTTGTCCATGCAAGCAGATGTTTGTTTAGGGTTTGGAAAGGTCGATACGCACGAATCTGAGATGTATTATTTAGTCATCAACGTACTTACGAGTTTCATGCTAACTACTGATATTGTTAATCAAGTGTTTCGATATTTTGTCATCCCACTAACACCCGGGTCCTCTGCGGCTTTCCGTCCGCTCCATAATAGCGATGACACTTTTGTGTCTTTGAGGCAGATCGTTTGGCCGTGTGGAAGTAGCAGGCAAAACCTTTGGTATGCCCTGAGGAGTCACGGATCCAATGCATTTACGACACCTCCGCCTCCCCAACAGCCCGATTAACGACCGACCCACCCCCCGATGGGTTTCGATCGATGCTGTACCCTGTGTACAGGATAGTCGTCCCAATAAGAAATGTACAATAGCTGTGAATTCTCGCTTAATTGCCAAGCTTTCAACATGTCGTTTGGTAGAACCATATCTGTCCTGGGGATACAGTTGATATCGTTTGCATTGTCCAAGCGGAGGAACAAGTTGGATGGAAATGCATCCACTGCGCGTGTTCTATGACACTGGTTGTTTTCTTTTCGCCAACCTCCAGCTTATTACTCGGTGAATCATTCGCACCGATTCAAAAAATTATGAAAGTCCCAAGGCAGATCGATGCCTATTTGTGATGTGCCACGCATTCTGCTCTGCTTTCATTCTACATTATAGTGACTTTTTGCACTTGATCTGGTCAAGGCTACGGCTTGTTTGGGTATAGCCGATATACAAATCAAGATTTCATCCTTCTAAATTGATCCTTCATAGAGTTCTTGATCGAATGAATGAAGAGATTGGTTGGCTCGGGCTGGATCTGACCCAAGATTTGATCCCCGGATTACGTGTGCTACCGCGCAAGGTAAAGCAGCGCCATTCGTCATTACATGACGTACCTAAGATTAATAGAGATGCGGAGGTGGTGTAGTGACAAAGCGGCGCGCTTACCACTCGTGCCGTCCTGGGTTCATATCCGGCTCGATTCCCGTCCAGGCCAACCAAGCCTTCTTCCTACCCCCGGGGACGGTACCAGACTCGACTAGGAGGATAAGACCACTGACTTGTACATCGGCTGGCCCCCGCAAGTCATTGTATAGGCCACATCGCATTCAATAAGCCACTACGATTCTGAATGGAAGTAGAATGCGTGCCGCACGCCACAGAGGGATTAGGGGGCGGAGAAGACCCTATCCTTTTCTATCATGTGGGGTCATGGGTTAATCGCTTTAGTTTCCGTCTGAGGGCACGTGCAGAACGGAAGCCGAGCTATCTCTCCTAACCCACCTAATGAAAATTTCATTAAATACCTACACATTATTTTTGATTGAAAACGACTATACAGCCGCAACTACCAAGAGCTCTTAATAATCTGTATTCTATATAGTTTTTCATTATTCCGTTGAAGCTGTGCGCCTTATGCTTCTTCGCTTCTGGCGAAGCCGTTGTTAGTCTCCTATTCACTGGCTTAAATTACATCACAACCGAATGAAATATGATTCCGGATATTGAACTCGTCAAGGAAAAAAGAGCGCAGATTCCACGGAGGAAGAGACCGGCGATGCGATGCAAATCCCAAGACACTCCGCTCAAGCACTTCTCGCCACACGCTCTTCAAAAGAAATTTCCTGAATTAGTCTGCAACGGCGTCACCAGAGGATGATTTGATGGGCGATGCTTTTGCACTTTTGGCTCTCAGGATAGTGTCCGAAATAGGCAAAAATAGCGGTGAATTCGAATAAATGTTTTCAACCTACTGCTGCGTAAAAAAAAACTTGGAACAAGCCACAAAATCGCGTTTCACACAGTACTGAAGCTATTATTCAATAGCAAAACATTAGGAAGGTAAGCAGGTAGTGAGAATTCGAAAAGAAAATTATCCAGCGCTCTGAATGTGTTTTGCTTACAACTGGACTTGATTAAAGCCTCAATCATCCTTGGGATTTACTCCACAAAAGTTTCAGTGGTATCCAAGGATATTCGACTCCGAATTTCCTGAGAATGCATGGAACTGCTCACTCGTGTTGACGATCTTCTTTCCTTTGACTTATGCTTCAAGTCATCTCAAGGATGCCTGATGGGGTCCAGGTGAAGGCCGTTACTCAGTCATTTTGTCATCCTGGTGCTGACCTTGGGTGCCGGATCCTAGATCGCACGTA